TACACACATACACACATACACATGTAGAGGTTGATATATATATATATATATATATATATACGTGTAGACAAATCTGTGCATGTGCATATGCATACACATGTGTATTATACTTTTTTCACGGCGATGTGGGCTCAGAGGGGCAATGCACAGACCCCCCATCGCCATTCGTAGCCGATAAGGTGCCCGAGGGCCCACCCCGCCCAAGAGCGTGCGGGTGCGCCATCGGGGGCCTGTGGCTGATCTGTCGGCGACGTGTCGCCGGTTCCAGCTCGATGTGTTTCCCCCCCTGCTGTTGCCCCTAATTTTTTTGGGCGAGTGTTTGGCCAGGCCACGGGCTCTCTCTTTGAAGGATGGGGTCGGCGTCAATCTGCGCAGTTCTCTCCTCGCGCCCACGTTCGTGAGCGAGCCTGCGTGCGGTTCCTGCTTAGTCACGGGTGACGCGTGTCCCCAGACGCGTGGCCGCTATAGTGCTCGAAGTCTCCATCTCTCTCTCTCTCTCTTTTTCTATGTCTCTCTCGGGGCTGAGGAGTTTGGATTTGGGGAAGAGTAGCAAGAGGAGGAACACGAGGATGAGGACGAAGAGGAGGAAGGCGAGGCGAAGGAGGAGAGAGGGAAGGAGGGAGGGAGGGAGGGAAGGAGGGAAGGAGGGAGGATGTGGAGGAGGAGGAGGAGGAGGAGGAGGAGGAGGAGGAGGAGGAGGAGGAGGAGGAGGAGCGTTGGATCTCCTCCGGGAGCCCCCCCCCCAGCGAGAGTCCGCCTCGCCTCGCCGGGCGCACTGGGCGCCCGCGGGGCGGGGGGTTTTGGAGTCCGCCTTCGGCGCGCGGCGCCTGCCCCCGGGGTGGGCGGGCGCCAGTTGGGGACGCTGTGGATCAATGAGCTCGGCGCGACCCCAGTCAGAGGGCAAAGCTTACTGCACGGGCGCATCGCTCGGCGCATCGCTCGGCGCATCGCTTGGCATTGCTTGGCATCGCTTGGAACGGGAGCCCCTTGATTAGGCAAGCCTCCTTGGGGAACCACGACGGGAGGCGGGAGCTGCGGTGGCCCCCCCCGGGCGCTGGTCACGGGGCGTGCCCGGGGCCCTCCCGTGGCGGAGACATCGCGGACAGAAGGCCTTTTTGCTCGCTTCCGGCCTCCGCGGGCCCTCCCAGGGCCCCAGGACTGTCCGCAAACCCAGTGCTCCTGCTCCTGCTCCTGCTCCTGCTCCTGCTCCTGCTCCTCCTCCTCCTCCTCCTCCTCCTCCTCCTCCTCCTCCTCCTCCTCCTCCCCCCTCGAGTCATGAAAAAATCACGATGGGAGGTTCTTCATTATTTTTGGCCTAGGGGGGCCCCTACCGGGCCTCGGGAGTGTCAAAACACGACTCAGGACGAAAAGCCGATCCTGGGGAGTGGGTCGAGACCCTTCGGGGTCGACGTGCTGACAAAAATCCTGACGTCGGGGGTCTGTGAACGGGCCAGGACGTGCAAAGCCGGTCCTGGGGAAAGGATCCAGATTTCTGGGGAGCCACGCTGTGAAAAGATCGGCTGCGCGTAAGAGTGACCTTGCGCCAGAGTGACCTCTGGTGCGGGCCCAATGGGGCCCCCCGATCGCCGAACGCGATGCGGTAGCAGCGTTCTGCGCGCTCGTGTTCAGCCCCCCCGCGGCCCACCAAAACGCCGCGCACCAGAGGTCATTCTTGCCCAGGGTCACTCTTGCGTGTAGTCGAAACGAGGGATCCCGGCGTCGGATGCCTGGGCAGAGGCTGGGGGGGGTAGGAGGAGGAGGAGGAGGAGGAGGAGGAGGAGGAGGAGGAGGAGGAGGAGGAGGAGGAGGAGGAGGAGGGGAGGAGGAGGAGGAGGGAGGAGGGGGAGGAGGAGGGAGAGGAGGAGGAGGAGGAGGAGGAGGAGGAGGTCCCCAATGGGGCTTAATCCTTTTTTATCCTTCCGACGAAAACCTCCTAGTAGTTGCCTCCAAACCAGGGGAGGAAAAAAAACACCTGGACCGGACAGCTGGCGTTTACTGAACGGCCCCGGGCGTTGACTGAACATCCCTGCCCTGTTCGATTCCTTCTGTGGGTGCGTCTGCGAAACGACTTCGCGTGTCGGGGTGGTCATTATGGGGGTGGATGTTTTGACGTCTACTTCTCTCGCCGCCACCCACGGCGCGCTCTTACGGGACCGCCCTTCGGGGCCGCGTGTCCCATGCGTCTGCCCTCTCATGGGACCGCTCTTCGGGGCCGGAGGGCAGATTCCCCTCGCATCGCATTATATTGCGCCCCACAGCGCGCGAGCCGCAGCTGCCCCCAAGGAGGAGGCCACCTGGGCCCACCTGGGCTCTCTGGGGGCCCTCTTGGGGCTTCCTGGGCCCTCTGGGGATCCTCTTCGGGCCTCTTTTGAGATCTTCTTGGGCTTCCCGATGTCAGCATGCAGCGCCACACGAGGTTGAATGAGAGTTCAGATGCGCAGCGCCAACGCACAAGGGTATCGCACGTTGCCACCACAACGTTTGCATACAGTGTGAACGCACAGCGCTAAAGTAATGCCTGCTAGCACACATTGGCACGATGTGAAGCTCAGTGCGAATACGAACACAGAAAGCGCAACGCATTGACTTGGGCCAACCCATCGGTATTCAGCTTGCACGTGCCAATGCCTTGAGTGTGAGCTTGTTATGCTTGTATGGTGACGTGATGCTCTATACTTCACTCGAGGCTGTCCGTCTCGCCTGGGGCCAGTCACTCTGCCTTTCCTCCCGCCCGGCTTCATCCCCTCCCGTCCGATGCTATCGCGGGCCCATGCTGTGAGGTCCTCTCGCTCCGCCCGGTGTGATTGTACATTCTTCTGCTAGCTGGAATTCGATGGCGTGCCAGAAAGATGGCACGCGCGCTCGTGCTAGTCTCTATGCAGGGCGTTGCCGCGGCTGCGCCAGCCTGAAGGGCCGAGAGGAAACAACACAGTTACATGGGACTGAGCATGTGTTTGGGCAGCCAGTCGTATGTGTGACAGGAAGCAGCAGCATGCTTGATGAGGCTCAAGGCGCACGGCTTCTTGAGGCTTGCTGTGGCAGCATCGCATGTGGTTTTAGCATCGGGTTGCCAGGGACCGGACAGTGAGTGGTGTGATGGTGGGAATGGCCTTGGACGGATGGTGCGGTGTCATCGCTGCCACCACTGCTGCAGCTATCGCCGCCGTCGCAGTCCTCCCTACCGTCGTCGGCCTTGTCGTCGCCCTTGCCGCAGCGGCCGCCGCCGCTGTCGTTGCCGTCCCCCGCTCCCCACTCCCACTCTCCCACTCTCCCCGCTCCTGGCATCTCGCTCCCTCCTCCCCCTCCCCGCCGTTTGGGTGGTTAATTGGTGCCGCGGTGTTTGTTCGCCGCTCGGCAGCGGGGCATATAAATACGGCAGGTTCGTGTCGTGTCGACCGGCGGCAACTCCGCCACCGGCGTTCAACGTTGAATGCCGCAGGCGACCCAGAATCGTTCGATGTGGAACGGTTTGGACGTTTCGGACACGGCAGATCGTTCAAGTTTGAACGATCCCCGCGGTGTCAGGGACCAACGCCGGGGTCGACACGACGCGAACCTGTCGTACTTCAACGCTGTTCTTTGAGCATGTTGCTCCAATCCTGTGGCCCACCACTCACGAGGCCCCAGACGGCGCTGCGGCTCTCGGCGCTCCCTCCTGCCGGGTCGCTCCGATCCCGGCCTCGCCCCCCTCCCGCCCCATCTCCCCTCTCCCTGCGCAGGAGCGTCTCGTCTGACGCCGGGTCGGGGTCAAGAGAGCACGGGAGACGAGTGGCTCAGCGGCAACGATGGGGGGGGGATAGACATCGGGGGGCTGCATCGACCCCCAGTCGCCCATGGATCGCCGATCGGGGTCCGATGGCCTCACCCCGCCCAGGAGGGTGCGGATGCGCTATCGGGGGTCTATCGCCGACCTATCGGCGAGGCATCGCCGACGGCCGGTCGACGCGTCGCCCCCCTATAGGCCAGTCCCCCGTAATTATCGTTGCCCCTCGGTGAGGTTGCCCCCCTGGTCTCGCGCAGAGGCCTCCGCGGTGCAAAGGCAATGCCGCCCCTCCCCTGGTGATCGGGTGAGCTGAATCCCAGGGCTTGCGCCCGATCGCGGGGCGCGCGCTGAGCAGCAAGCGTGAGGCAGGTCATGGGGCATGCCGGGTGGAACGCTTTTGTGCATGGCTCTGCTTTTGCCTCTGCCGCTGCTTCCTCGGCGCGCAGCGGGAGCGCCTCGCTACAACCCCCTGGAATAAGAAGTCCGGACCGCAGAGGTCGGGGAAGAAGCCTTGATGTTCGGCTCCCGTTAGGCCACGGGGCCCCGGTACAATGTTGCAGGGGCCGCCATGGTTAAATTTCCGGTCCATCCTCACCCCCTCTAATATCATGGTCGCCAAATGGGGTGACGACCGGAAATCCGCATTCCGCCTCATACTTCCTCCAACAAAAAATCTGGACGCTTTTCAGGCGACCGGAAATTCTCAGTGGCGACCGGAAATTCGCGATTTCGCTTGGGACTTCCTCGCAAATAAATTTCCTGTCCCAGTTATGTTGCTTGGAAGTTGTGATTCTGCTTGGTACTTCTGACCAGCCATGTTTGTCTCTCGGGGAGCGACGATGCAAGGGGGCCTGCAGTGCCGATCCAGACTTTTTAATCCACGGGGTGGTAGCAGGCGGAGGTCTGCTGGCAGCGTGCCTTCCATGCTTGCCTGCGCGTCGCCGGGGAAGACGAAAGCAGTCGTAGTCACAGCCAACCGTCAGGCTTCACCTCGGGATCGAGGACAGCCCCTTTACAGAGCACTGCCAGGTCCGCAGACGCCCAGCGTTGACAGCTCTGCGGCAGGTTGACTCCTGACACCGACCTGTCTCAAGAACGCGGGAGGTGGAGGCGGACGGGGAGGGATCGCGCCCTCTCCCAGATAGGGGGGGCCTGTGCCGAGGCTCGGGCCACGGAGGCGCAGAGGAGAGGGGGAGGGCTCCTCTCTGGTTCCGCTCCTTTCCCCTGGTGTCGGCCCAGAGCCGCCTTGGCCACAGCTCTGGACGGTAGAGGTTGTGTGTGTGTGTGTGCCATGCCCAGTGATGCGTCGCTGGGCGCTGCAGACGCCGTGCCAGCAGCCAAGCGCGCCCGGCGCGGTTCCGAGCCAGCTCCTCCCCTGGACGGAGTCGCCGAGCAGACTCTGCCGAGACTCGGCCGCTGCCTCGTTGCCACTCGGCCGTTTGCGAAAGGCGAGCTCGTCCTGGAGGAGGAGGCCTTCCTGGCCGCCCCGGCGGCCCCGCAGGCGCCGCGCCTGGAGCTGCTGGCAGAGCGCCTGTGCAGCGCCGGGGGCCCCTCTGCCGGCTTCGGCGAGGCGGAGATGCGCTGGGACCTGGCGCGGGCGCGCTCCCTGGTGGCCTTCCTGGAGGCCTGCCTGGCGCTGCCGGCGGCGGAGCGCGGCTGGCTGCGGGGCCACTTCGACCTGTCGCTCGAGGAGGGCGCCCCGCTCGGCGCCCTGGCGCGCGCCAGCGCCGAGGCGGTGCACGCCTCGGGCGCCTTCCGCGGGGCCGGCGCAGACCGCGCGGAGCTGGAGGAGCTGTGCCTGGCCAAGGTGGTCAACTGCCACGCCGGGCCCGTGGGCGGCGCCGCGCTTTACCGCGCCCTGAGCCGCCTGGCGCACAGCTGCGCCCCGAGCTGCGTCTACGCCCCCAGCCGCGCGGCGGGGGCCGCCTCCGTCGGCCGCCTGGTGGCCGCGCGCGACGTCTGGGAGGGGGAGCTGCTCACCATCAGCTACGTACGCAGCGACGTGCTGTTGCGCCCGCGCGCGCACAGGCGTGCTGCGGTGTTCGCCGCGCGGGGCTTCCACTGCGGCTGCCCCGCGTGCGACGGCGCCGACCGCTGGCGCCCGGCCAGGTGCCCCTGCGGCTCCGCGGGGTGCGCCGCGGTGCAGGACCCGCAGGGCGCATGGGCGTCGGCCTGCGACCGCAGCTTCGAGAAGGGCTGCCCCCTGGAGGTGGGCCTGGTAAGGCTTCGGGTTGCGCACGTACAGCCACCCCCTCTACGAAGTCCTGGCTGGCCTCAACAGGCCCCCCGAGCAGTGCGGGGCGGACTCGGAGCGCCCCCATGGCTGGTGTCGAAACCGCCCCGGGCTGCTCGGGGGGCCGGTTGAAGCCAGCCTGGACTTCCTGGGGGGCCTGTCTGAAGGAGGAGGGGGAGGAGGACGAGGAGGAGGAGCAGGAGGAGGAGGAGGAGGAGGAGGAGGAGGAGCAGGAGGAGGAGGAGGAGGAGGAGGAGGAGGAGGAGGAGGAGGAGGAGGAGGAGCTTTGCCGAGGTGGACCTGGAGACCGCGGAGGCGTGCTGGACCAGCGTGGTGGTCGGCTACACGCCAGGGTGACCCTTCGCTGGAGTGACCTTCGATGCGGGCTCACAGGGGTCCCGAAGCACTGGCCTGCGCGCCCGGATTTGGCCTGCCTGCGGCCCCCTGGAAGCCGCGCACCAAAGGTCACTGTTGCCCAGGGTCGCCCTGGCGTGTAGTCGAGGTGGAGGTGCTGCAGGGCCAGCCCCTGGCGCTGCTGCCGGGCCGCTCGGGCAGCTCGTCGTCCTCGGGCTCCTCGGGCTGCTCGTCGGGCTCCGCGGGCTCGTCAGGCTCCGCGGGCTCGCGAGCGAGCGGCGGCGCGGGCTCCGCCTCTGCGGCCTCTTCGGGGGCAGCGCCAGGGGGGCATGGGCTCAGGGAGGGGATGTCGGAGGAGGAGAACCCAGAGATCTGGCGCCCCAGAAAAACTGGAGCGGCGGAATTTGGGCTATATTTTCGGCCTCCGGAGGCCCTCGCCGGGCCTCGGGACCGTCAAACCACGATTCTCGGGGCGAAAAACCCGCCCCAGGGAGGTGGTCCAGGCCTCCAGGGCCCACGCATTGAACAAGTTGGAGCGGCCGGATGTCTGGGAAGAGGCAGCTGCCACTACCGTCTGCCCTTCCCTCGTTCTTGCCTCCGTGGGCCTCCCGGGCGGGCCCTCGGCGCCACGGCCAGAGTCGCCTCGAGACCCTGGTCAGAGCGCGCCCCGGGAGTGGTCCGGGGGGCAGAGATCTGGGCATAGCTCGGCCTTCCCAGGATGGGCTCAGCGGGTGGGTGCATCGGGCCCCAAGTCGCCCATGGATCGCCGACAGTGGCCCGATGGCCCGCCCTGCCCAGGACCGGCAGGACCGGGAGGATTCGCCATTGGGGGCCTGTCGCCGATCTCTATCGGCGACGCATCGCCGATGCCAGGTCGATGCCCCGCCGCCCTGAGCCAGCCAGAGCTCCCGACCCCTTCCCCCGGGGTAAAACAACTGCGTCCACATGCTGTTCGCGACCGGCCAGCCTTTCGGGCTCGCCTGAGCCGCGCCGACGCGCCCCAGGGTGTATGGCCTTCCTTTCCTTTCCTTTCCTTTCCTTTCCTTTCCTTTCCTTTCCTTTCCTTTCCTTTCCTTTCCTTTCCTTTCCTTTCCTTTCCTTTCCTTTCTCCAGGGGTAGTGTTTCGCTGTGGACCCACTTTCGATGATCAATTGGCCCTGGGGCGCCAGGCGCGGGCCCCAGCGGCCGAAGCGAGGAGCAAGCGCCGGGCCTGAAGACAGCGCCTCGTCGGAGAGCTGGGCCTGTCGTCCTCCCCCCTGCCGTCGCCCCTCGCCTCGGGGCGCCGGCGCCGAGGCGCCGCGGGCGCGCCCGAGGGCTCGCCGCGGGCGCGACCTGCCGCGCGCGCGGCGCGGCGCACGGCAGTGGCGCTGCTGACGCAGAGGACGGCGGCCGCTGGCGCGCGGGAGCAGCTCGGGGAGGGCCACTGGCTGACGGCCAGGCTGGGGTCCCTGCTCAGCTCCTCCTCGGAGGAGAGCGGGGCGGCATGAGCACGACCCTGTGGCGGCGGTGCCCTCTTGGAAGGGCCCAGAGGCCTCTGCGAAGGGCCCTGGGGAGGCCGGGACGGGCTCCCGAGAAGGCCCCTGCTTCCTCAGAAGCCCCCCCATCGCCGTCTTAGAGGGCCCCCCTCGCGCCACCCCCCCTCGTGGGCGCCGCCCATTGCGGAGGTCCGCGCGGAACTCTCTGGATCGGCGCTGGGCTTTTGGCTGGCGGCGCCTGCGGCGCCCCCGCGCGCCAGGGGAGGGGGAGCCCAGCGCCGGTCCAGGAAGTCCGTGCGGACCTCCTCAATCGGACCGCGCCAGCGATACACCCGCACTGACCATGAGATCCTGGCGACTCAATTTTCTCGAGCCGGGCGTTTTCGCTGGGTTTCGGGCCCCCAGGCCCTCACGGATCGATCCGGCTCGAACCATGATGCAGAAAGTTGGGGTCAGGGGGTCCAGTCGTGATTTTAGCGATGTTTTTTTTGGTTGTTGTTGTTGTTGTTGTTGTTGTTGTTGTTGTTGTTGTTGAACATTATTCCTTCTAAAGAATTATTATTGTTGGGACCCCTGGTGCGCGACCTCTGCGCCGCGCCTAGGCCGCAGCTACATTTTCATCATTTTTTCGCGAAAGCTTCAGAAAAGTGGATGAGCTCCGGATCCGGTTTTTTGTTGACGCTCGTTTTCCCTTGCAAAAAACAATAGAAAATGAAAATTCTTGTTTTTACTTGATCAAATTGCAAGAATCCCTTGCAAAAAATAAGGTAAAGTGGACATTCGTGCGCGCAAGACGAAATCCTTCCAAAACCTTAGGTTTCGTAGCGATTTTAACATAAAAACATCAAAAACCCAATGGTTTTCTCAGAAAAAATTGTCAAAATGTCCTTCCGCGCGCTCTTGCGGATTCCTAGGAAACCCACCAGATTTTAAACATTTCTGTTAAAAGGGCCTTTGCGAGGAACCTTTTCAGGTGCTTCGACCTTCTGCAACAACGGTTGCGAGCCTACGAGGGCCACCATCCCTTGCAAAAAATGACACGAAGTGCACATGCGCGCGGCCGCCGCGCGCGCGTGCCGAAATCCTGCCAAACATAATGTGATTTCAATAATTTCAAGATGCGATGTTCCGAAAACATATGCAAACGCAAGACTTTCTCATCCGAAAAATATCAAAATCCACCCGCGGGCTCTTCATGAATCTTTAAAACCCAAGATGGCCCCAAGAGGCGCTCAAGATGGCCCCAAGAGGCGCCCATGAGGCCGCAAGAGGCGCCCAAGATGGTCCCAAGAGGCCCCAAGAGGACTCCAAGAGGCCCCCAAGAGGTTCCAAAGAGGCTCCAAGTTGGCTCCAAGAGGCCCCCAAGATGGCCCCAGGAGGCGTCCAAGCGGCTCCAAGAGTCCTCCGGGAGGATCCAATAAGCCCCCAAGAGGCCCCAACATGCTTTCAAGAAGCCCCCCAAAGCCTCTCAAGAGGACCCCATGCGGCGCCAGGAGGCTTCCCCCCTTCCCCAAGAGGACCCCCAGCGGCCCCAGGAGGCTTCCCCCCTTCCTCTCACGCTCATATCCGTAGCCATCTCGGATCAAGGTATCGCCTGTGTTCTTGGATCATGGCTTTGACGGCGAAAGACCTTCACGAGCAGTATGGCGCAGAGCTGTCCCGGCCTCCCTTGGCCGACTGCGAGAGTGCGTATTATTTGCATCAGGCGCTCGCGGCAAAGGGTATCAATGCCAGTCACCAGGCGTGCAAGACTTGGTGGGCCAAGTATCGGGTTGTGACTGGCAAGGTCAGTATTTCTAGCGCCAAGGAGCTGGAGGAGCAGCACGGGTCTGCCATCCGCCACCTGGGCATCGAGTATACTACCGCTTACAAATTATGCCGGGCGCTCCGACAGTTGGATCCACCACTGTATGTGCCAGATAGGGTCGCAACGGCGTGGCTACTGCAGTATTCATCGAAAGACACGCTTGTCCAAGTGCAGAACGCTGGCCGATGTGATCAACCTCTGTGGGTGTGTACCCCACGCCAGTGTAGTAGCCAGGGTCGTCCGCACGCCACGAAGTGAAGTGTCCCAACGTCATAGGGCGGGAAGCTGGGTGTGGGTGGTCTCGAAGAGTCGTTTGGATATTTGGTAGAGCTTGAACGGCCCCCCCACGAAGTGGGGGCATTGGCTGGTGTCGCAAGAAAACCCTGGCACTGGGGAGAACACTGAGCGTTCGGGTAAAATGATTGTTGTTGTTGTTGTTGATGTTGTTGAACTCTCATTCTTGAAGAATAATCATTGTTGATCCCCCCCCACCGGTGCACATTGATTTTTTTCGATTGAAGTGCCACCCCCGGGGCTCGCACCTTGTTTTTTTCTCAAGGAAAGTCTTCCTGCTCAAACTGTGCCCCTGCCCCCCGGGCTACAACAACAACGGCTCCCGCCTGAGACTTCCTCGATTTTTACTCAGGACCCCCGCTCCCGCCTGAGACTTCCGCGCAATTTACTTAGGAAAGGCGCTCCCGTCTGAGACTTCCTCGCAATGTAATCAAGACCCCCGCTCCCGCCTGAGACTTCCGTGCAATTTACGTGGGAACGGCGCTCCCGCCTGAGACTTCTTCGAATTTTGCCTCAGGACCCCCGCTCTGCTTGACATTTCCGCGCAATTGACTCAGGAACGGCGCTCCCGCCTGAGACTTCCTCGCAATTTAGTGAGGACCCCCGCTCCCGCCTGAGACTTCCGTGCAATTTGCTCAGGAACGGCGCTCCCGCTTGAGACTTCCTCGCAACTTAGTCAGGGCCCCCGCTTCCGCCTGAGATTTCCTCACAATGTACTCAGGACTGCGCTCTCGCGTGCGACGTCCTCACAAATTATTCTGGAATTGCGTTTCGGCGCTCAGGAACCACGCACGCGCCAAGGACGCCTTCACAACGTGGTATCTTCCCTCTTCCTTCGTCCTTCCCCCTCCCCTTCCTCCCACTCTCCCTCGTTCTTCCCCTCCTCCTCTTGCAGGGCCCGCGCCAATTCCAATGGCGGGCAGAGAGATGTACGCCCCCGAAGGATTGTCCGCCCGTTCCGGTTTGCCCGTACGTCTAAGCCCGCCGGCCCCAGCAAAGAGAAATAATCCCCCCGAAAGGGGTGTGATCGAAGACGAAGAGGGCGGGTATCGAGGGTGTAGGGTATACGTGTTGAATGACTCGCGGGTAAGAGCGTACAGCCTTAAAATGGTTGTTGTTGTTGTTGTTGTTGTTGTTGTTGTTGTTGTTGAACATTATTAATTCTAAAGAATAATTATTGTTGGGCCCCCTGGTGCGCGCCCCCCCGCCGCGCCTAGGCCGCAGCCACATTTTCATCATTTTCGTGAGGAAGCCTCAGGTAATTCGAGGTGATCAAGATCCGGTTGTTTTGTTGTAATCCGCTTTCCCTTGCAAAAAACACTATAAAATGACATTTCTTGTTCTAATATAATCAAATTTCAAGAATCCCTTGTAAAAAATAAGGTAAAGTGGACATTCGCGCGCGCAAGACGAAATCCTTCCAAAAGCTTAGTGTTCGGAGCGATTTTAACATAAAAACATCAAAAAACCAATGGTTTTTCAACAAAAAAATGTCAAAATCTCATCCCGCGCGCTCTTGCGGATTCGTAGGAAACCCAACACTTTTTAAACATTTCTGTCAAACGGGCTTTTGCGAGCAACTTTTTCGAACTTCTGCGACAACGGTTGCGCACCTGCCAGGGCCATCATCCCTGTCAAATAATACCATGCGGGACACATTCGTCTCTCTGTATTATGTATTGTATGGCACAATTGCACCATGCTGGGCACATGCGCGCCCCGAATAAGTGACCAAGTTCTGTGGGTGTGTACCCCACGCCAGTGTAGTAGCCACGGTCGTCC